GTCAGAGGAAAAAAGAAGAAAGGAACTGGTTTTGAAATGAATAGAAGCTGCTGGTCAGGCTGCCACCGAAGCAAACAAAAGCTTTCCAGCATGTAACTGCTTGTCTATGCAGGGAAATTAATTGGAACAGCTTTTCCAAATTAGCTGAATCTGATGATGATAAAAATAATAAAAACAAATAGTGGATTAAGTTAAATTAGGAAAACGCAGCTTTATTCTGGAATAGGCGTGTCCACATTCCAGCATATTTTACTCCACAATAGCAGCTTCACTCAGCTCCTCTGTGCCGACAAGCCCCGACACCGGCCCTGTGCATGCTCCTGCTCCTGCTCTGCAGGCAAGCGCTGCCTGCTCACCCCTCCTGCTGCTGGAGCCTCCTCCGGCCTTTTTCCTCCGGGCTGCCACTTGCCAGCACCTCTCCCTGCCAGCAAATCCTCCAGGCACTCTGGCAGTCCTGCAGATTTTGGTTTCTCATCCCGACAAAAGCTGTCCCCAGGCTTTCCCAAGCATGCGTGTGACCCTTTAGTCCCTGCTGCCTGCAACAACCTCCCCGCCTGCTCTGGCATCCTCCCCACTTCGAGAAATTCACATGGGTCCTTCCCTTAGCACCCAGGCCTTTGTGCTTCCCCTGTCACCCTGCAAGCTAGCGCCTCTTTTGCTTTTGCACAGGCAGCTCGTCTGCCTTCAGACGGGCTCCCAGATGACATTTGCACACACAGACAAAAATCCCGGATTTATTTTGGATGGGGAAAGATGAGAATTTGGCACGCGCAACCAAAGAGCGACCTCTCTGACCACGCTGCCTTCGCAGAGCCTGGTTGCTGGCTCCCATTTCATTGCTGTGGGCTCTGTGGGGCAAGCAGCAGTGACTGTACGCAGCTACATCAGCCTACAGCAGATGAGGATCTTGCCCCTTCTGTTAGAAGAAAGACATAATTTTAATTATCTTGACATGTTTATCACTGTGAGCCTGGGCCCGTTATCTCCACGGGTTCGTTCTCAACTGCGTGGAGCTGAGGGAACATGATTGCCTTTTATTAAAATCATGCATGAGGTATTCCTGCAGCTGCACTTTGTGTCAAAGGATAAAAAATGTGCGCAGTGACTTTCCTCGCATTGTTAGCTCTGAGTAGCTGTGGTGTGCTGCGAGCCATTTCCTACACAATGGGGCTTCAGCTATTACGGCTTATTTATGGGTCTGCATGTGTTCGCCCTGTCAAACCTTCTTACAGAGAAGGTTTAAAGCCATTAAAAAATGGTTTGGGTTAGTTTCCCTAAAACTTGCTTCGCTGCACGGCCTGACATGCGAGAGCTCCAGCTTTGCTGTGCATCACTGTGCTGCCAGGTCCCTCTCCTCTGACCCCGCTCTGTAAAGCTGGGGCTTGTGCTGGGGCTGCTTGTGCCCTGCGAGAATGGAAGGGAAATGTCCCCTCCATTCGTGGGAGCACGCAGGGTTTCTTGGGTTTCCCATCACCACTCAAACCCAGCCACCCCATCTGCATGTCCAGCACCTCTGTGGCAAGACCCTGACACCTCCTCTTCCTCCTTGACTCTCATTTCATTTCCACAAAGGCTGTTTTTCACTAACACTGGCCATGTGGATCTGGAAAAGCCTTCTAACCTCTGCCTTGTCATCTGGTGAGTCACCTCAAACTGTCCCAAGCCGATGCCCGGGCAGCCTACTCCCTCTGGATTTCCTTCTCCCCGTTTCCACAGCTGGACAGCTCGTATCAGAAAGTAAATTCTTGACGAATCACTAGTTCTATTTATTGTTTGCTACACCAAAGGGCTCAGGCATCCTAGGCATGGGGTCCTTGACCAATGCACAGAAAAGATCCTCTCTCTCCCACCAAGTTTTATGATCCCGGGACAAAACAGAAGATAACTGGGGCTCGTTGCAGAGCCCCAGACTGCAGTGTCAGCCAGCCTCTAAATAGTCCCAGCATCAGCAGCAGGGCTAAAAATAAGTCTGGCGAGGTTTATTTTCACATTTATTCTGCCAGAATACGCCGTATCCCGATCCCCATCCCTCCATCCCTGTCCTGTCGGGGTCCCCCCCATGTAGCATGCCCCTGTCCCTGGGGGGACCCGCAGGTTGCAGTGGCAGATGGCAGCTGCTGGGGTCCCTGGTGACCTGTTACCTTGTTAACCTGTTAAACTGCCACCAGTCACTGCCTGTGAGCCCTGACCAGCCTGGGGCCCTGTGTTTGTTTGTGCAAGGCGGCCCAAAAGGCTGGCTGGGCTGGCAGCCTTCATCTCGGGCTTCCCATTAGGATCACGCCGTCGGTCCCCAGGGCTGAAGTGTGCCTGTCCCAGGCTTGTCCCACCTGGGAAATGGGCTTCTGGGCTCTGCCGAGTGTGTGGGGCAGCTGCAGGGCTGGGGATGGAGCTGGCTGCAGGGCAAGGTGGCTTTCTCTGTGGTTTTCTCCCAGAGTATTTATAGGGCCGTGAAGGTGACGCGGAGGCAAAGTGATGCACAGCAAAGCTGTATATCTTATGTGTCAGCTGGGCAGTGGAGCAAGTTTTAGGGAATAAAGCATCTGGTTATTAAGCTGATGACATGATAAGCCTGGGAAAGCATCATGTGGAGGTGGCTCTGTCCCCTTGATACCTGCTCTCGGTCATTTAGGGTAACGTGGGTGTCTGTCCCTGCCCCACATTGCTTCATGGGGACCCCTCTCCCTCTGTCCAAGCAAGTGGTGGAGTGGCAAGGCAGGGTGGCACGGTGGAGGAGCCCGTGTTCACAGTGAAGGTGCAGGGCCATAAAACCACACTGCAATGTGTAATTACCAGGAGGAGGTTGGGGAGGTGAATACAGTGAGTGGGTTTATGAGGAGGTGAGGAGGAACAATGCAGCCAACGATTTTTAATTATTCCTACAACAATAAGGGGAAACTAATCTCCCAGATCAGGGTGCAAATTTAATTCTCCCCTTTACTCCTCTTCCCATCATTCAGCCGAGCACAATGGCACAGATGCAGCCTGGGATGCTGTTCCTTCCTGCGAGGGATGCCCGACTGCTTTGGGGTGCCAGAGCCTGGGTCCTCAGACAAATCCCTTAACCCCAAGGCTACAGGAGGGGATTCCCTTGGGGGCTGCTATCTCATGTGCCACTTGGTTCACTGTTTTAAGTTTTCAGTGGGAGTACAGCAAGGCTCACTAGTGCTCCGTGGTGCAGGGCGCTGTACATAGCTGCTCTGATAAAAAAACTCTTCAGAGTTTATACACAGCAGGCAAAAGGCACGAAGTGGCAGCGTGACACAGCCAAGTCCTCTTGGCAAGGAGCTGGCAGAGTCCTGGCATCTGCTGCATGGCAAAACCCCGCGGCAGTGCTGGAACCGAGCTTAGCCCTGCTCCCCCCATCAGCCCCAGGCATGGGGGAGCTTGGGGGGTGTCCTGTGGGGTGCAGAACAGCCCCCCCAGCCCCTGGGTCTGACCCAGGGCTGATGCAGAGTGTGGCACCGCGCAAGGGGCAGCCTTTGAGAAGCCAAATTGTTTTCCCCTCAGAGCAGAATTGCTTTCATAGCTGCAGCCAGCACATCCCAGCCTTTCTGTCCGTTGCTTAATTAACTCCAGAGCTTGTATGGCTTTCTTCTGGGGGAAGAAAAAAAAAAAAATCGAGGGAAGAAAAGCAGAGAAGAATGCAATTTTTGCAAACACCCCCCGCCTCCGCGGGGTAGCGTGGGGCTGCAGCCCCACAGCTTGCTTCCTCCCTGCCCGCCCCCGCAGGCACCGGTGCTGGCCCAGCTCCCCGCACACAGATGTGGGCTTCCCCCGGGCTGCTGCGCTGTGCTGGGAAAGTTCAAACCTGCCGTGGTCCTTCCACAGCTCCCCCCAGCCACCGGAGCATTCCCCGTGCCCCACATCATCCCCAGAGCTGGTGGGAAGAGCCTCATCCCCCCTCATCGGTCTGTGCTGGGTAGGAAGGACCCCGGGTAAATAAACAGCAGCTGGTGGTGAAGTGCATCGTGATGGCTTTTTCCCATTCCCCGGATGGCTCCGTGATTGTGTCCAGGTGCGGGGAGCCGGGGCCAAAGGCTGAGCGCTGGGACGCGGGGACAGATTTGGCATCGCTCAGCTTTAACAACACCGGCTGGGGAGGGCTGACTCCGGGCTGACCCCCCCACATGTGGAAAGGCAGCACCCTGTGGGGCTGCCTTTCGAGCCCACGCTGCATCTGCAGCAGCAGAAAAAGGGGAGGTTTGGGGGGAGCTCAGGGCCCGGTCCCATCTGCGATGCACGGGTCCCTTCTCCTCCCACCAGTGCTGGTTTGAAGCAGCCCCAGCAGGAACCAGTTCCTGGCACTCTGAGATCTACAGAAACCAGAGGTGGCCCTCGAGCTGGGTGGAAAGTTGGTTTGAGACTGAGGAAACCAACGGTAGTTTCACTTTGTGTTGTGTTTTCTTTATTTTTCTAACACCGAGTGTGATCTATAGATGGGCGAGCACCTTGAGTTCAAGGGCATTTGTAGTCTGGGCTGTGTCGCTGTGTGGGGATGCCCCAGGGAAGCCGGCTCGGTGATGCCGACTGGAACGGTTTAAGGACACCTCCTGGGGCTTTGCCTGGCAGCGTTTTGCTCTCCAGCCTCCAGGATCCGCAGCACCCATGGGTGAGAGTGCAGAGCTGGGTTTTCACTCATGCACAGCTGGAAGGAGCTCGGGCCCCCTGTGGCTTCACCATGGCCACCTCCTGTCCCAACATCAGCTGGGTCACTCCAACTCCTCCAGCGGGGACTCGGGGACTCTGCGCCCTCCCCTGTGATGGCACGGCGCCGCTCGGCAATGAATCACAGCCCGGCGCCGACAGCATCCCTCTCCATACCACACCTGCCACGCTTTGGTTCGCCCTTCCCCTGGACAAGTTTTTCCCCCTCCCTTTGAGAGTGGCTCTTTTCAGCCAACCCTGAAAGGGCCCTGTTCCCCCGTGATAGATTGCACCTGATTTCAATATCAATGAGGGCATCGGGCTCTGCTCTGTGCTCGTAGAGCCCCCGGCAGCTTGTTTAGCCGAGGTTTGTTAACAGGGTCGCCCTCCTCCTGCCTTCCCTTTCTGCCTCCTCCTGCAGTGCTCCAGGGAGCCAAAGCTGTGGCTGATCCCATCCTCGGGAAGGGTTTCTCCTGCCAACAGGTCAGGCAGTATGGGTGGTGGGTGCACGATGCTCGGGTGCTGGACCGTGCGAGCAGGGCAGGATGGTGAGTGTGGGGCCTCCGCCGCCTGCCCGAGGAGGTGGCGTTGCCATGGTTCCTTCTTTCCTTCTGCTGATTTAAAAAAAAAAAAGAAAGAGAAAAAAAAAGATGATCCTTTCTTTTCCCCCAGCCTTTTATCTTCCTCTCTAAGGCTGTTGCTTTGAGTCCTATGTCAAATGCGTCCATTGCTAAAGGAGCCAGAGGGTGCCATAAATCCAGGCGGCCCTGAGCGATGCCTCTTGCCCCCACCCCATCCAACGAGCGCCTTTGTTGTTCCCACTGCCTGTGATTTATGGCCCTTGAGCCGGGGCTGTTCCCAAGAGAGCTGTCCCCTTTGTCCCCAGGCCTCAGCAGAGGCACGGGGTACATGTGAGCTGTGCGGTGTCTCCGTGCCAGCCTCACCTGTACCTGTCCCAAAACCAGCAGCATTGCTGCGTGCCAGGCCCAGCCTGAGCAGACACCTGGTTCTCTGTGTCCCACAGGGATCAGAGTCACGATTGCAGCCCCTGGCTAAACAGCTTTTTAAAGCTATCCTGGGCTTTGGAGATCCGCAGCTAAATTCCCATCACGTGAGCCAAGAGGGTGCCAGCTTCCAGGCAAGGTGCAGCAGGCAGGCAGCCTGGCCAGGCTGCGAACGTGCTTCAGAACCACCAAGCTGCAGCTCTCTGAGAGCAGCTGGTGGGTTTCTTTGGCAATAACCCCTCTTGCTATCTTTATATCTTACCTGAGACAGCAGAGAGGGCAGAAACTCCATTTATTGATATCTCCTGCACAAGCCAAACCATCCCAGAAAAAAACACTCCTTAGAGCCAGGGGTTCCTGCTCAGAGCCCAGATGAGGGGATGGGGAAGTCCCATGGAAAAGGTGAAGAACAGGGCTGGGAGGCACGCAGCCAGCCCTCCTGACCCGCAGGGCAGTGCCGTGGCTCTCTGCCCCACCGCACCCTGTGGGGCTCCCAAAAACGTGCCTCTGTGCCCGGAGATTGTGTGGGAGCAGGGAGTCAGAGGCAGGGCTTTGTCCCCCCTCTCCTCTCCCCTCCGCTGGGTTTGGTTAAGCTTCGTGTCACGGATAAGAGGAAAAGGAAAACAGGGAGAGGGGAAGCGACGCAAACTGTAAAAACAGCAAAGGAATCCTCCAGCTCCCTGGGGAGCTCAGGAATGGGAATGAGGGTCTGCATTTTCCAATGGGAAGCACCCAGGGACAAATAAACCCTCCAGATGAGCCGGAGAGGTGAGTCCTTCCAGACGAGGTCAAGACACCCGGGGCTGCCAGATGGCTCTTCCTCTGCTGGCCCCCAAAGATGTCCTTCAGGGTCTGTGTGTCCCATGTCCTTGAGCAAGTATTTTGGTTTTCTGTGGTGGTTTTGGTGCTGCTCCCAGGTATGTGAGCAGTAACAGCAGTGCAGCCCCTCTGGGCTCCGTTGGCAGCAGAGCAGCACAGCCATCCCACACCAGCTCTCGTCAGGACCCGGATGGTAAAATCTGACCCTGACTGGGGCCGTCCTTTTATTTGGCAGCTGGCAGCTGCTCTCGCACGCAGCACAAAGCAGCAGAATGGCTGATGTGGTGCTTACAGCCCCGTGGTGACGCTGGGTGACAGCAGGCTGTGTGACCAGGGCACAGCTCAGCCTCCCACCGTGTCCCCTTGGGGTCCCCATGAAGTAGCCAGGGTGGCTGTCCCCAACCCAGCACCCGAGCTGGGGTGTCCACTTCTCCCTGCCAGCAGCTGTGGGGCCATGAGGATGAGTCTTTGGCGTAGCACATCCCTCCTGCCTTTGTCTGACCAGGTCAAGCCTTGTCCCCTGAGCTTCTCATTTCAGTATCCAGACTTTAGAAGAAGGCAGGTCCCCAACACCCAGCAGATCCCCTGAAGGGTCCCGTCCTTTTTGTCTTCCTCACTCAGGTGGCTCAAGTGAAGCCTCTTGGTGACCACGGTGTGTGACATGCACAAGGGATGAGGCACAGCCTGGAAGTCCCGATGCTCCTTATAGCCCTGCTTGAGGCACTGCTTACAGGCAGTGAATTGAGGCGAAAGTCCCAAGTAGAGAGAAAAGCCAATAATTTGTAATCCTTGGGAGCACACAGCCCTGTACAGCTGGCCCAGTGATGCACTGAGGTCCTCTCAGGGAACAAATCCTGACACCTAGGTGCCCACACCGCAGTCCCATCCCCGGGAGGACACCCTGTGCCGCGCCACGAGAGATGCTCCTCGCCCTGCTGCCTCTCCCCAGGGCAGAAGGTTTTTGCTGGCTTTTACTGAGATCCCTCTTTCAAAGCCGGAGCTGAGCACACAGCTGGGCAGGTGCCAGGCTCCTATTTCGGAGGCGAGCTCGGAGCCCCGTTCTCCGGCGGAGCCGCGGGGGCTGTTGGCAGCGAGGCGAGCAGCTGCGCAGCAAGGCGTTGCATCACGGAGGTGGATGTAGGTGCGGCCCCCGTGGCGGGCTGTTCGTGCCTTGGGGCTACTCTTTGCTGCGGTGTCTGACAGATGCTGGCAGGTAGGGGCTGGCCGGCAGGATCAGCACCGTCTGAAACATGAACGCACACCAGAAAAAGGTGCTGCAGGGCAGGGACGGGCGCGCACGCTGGAGCCCTGACAGCTGGATTTCCTGCGCCTGGGCCAGCTCCCTGCCACGGGTCTCCCCACAGTCCCCATGCAGCTCCCGGTGCCTGCAGATGAGGAGTTTGGGTAAATTTGGGTAAATTTTGCATGCAGCGAGGAGCCCGCCTCGCATAGGAGTGCAGATGCTCCCCGCACAAGCCCTGCCACCACCCACCAAGCCGTGGTGCACAAGGCAGAAGTATTTGGGATAGCACCAGTTCTGTCTCCATGGGCTTTCCAAGGGAAGCCCCAGAAAGAATTAGTAGGATTGTTCTCTCCCCTTTCTTCTCTGGAAATTCCCAATGTATGAGTTTTCCACCCAGTCTGAGTGGCAAGGAATGCAGTTTTGGTAGCTCCTGCTCTCCCAGTCCGTCCCGTGTGGGAAACGTGGGCATGGTTTGTGTGCCAATGATGCCGTGTTGCACCACGTGTCCTTCGAGGGCTTTTGGCAAGCTCTGGGACTAAAACCAAGAAGTGTTCCCGGGAGTGACACACACAGAGATGCCCGTAGTATTAACCCGGGCAGCCTTGTGGCGTGCAGGGCATCGGAGTTGTGGTTAATTCAATCGTGGTCCCCATAGAAACGAGGGAAGAATTGGAGGAATTAGATATTTACTTTCATTTCTAGTGGCAGCCTTCATCCTGAGATTAAACGGGAGCCAGCCCCTCGCCCCGCACACACAGCAGCTCCAGGGCAGCTTCTGCAGCGGGCGAGGGAAGAAAAGGCCGCTTGTTTCTCGAGATGCCCTTTACTATTCAAGCTCCTTCTACATGTTTTTATTCAACTGCATCTTGCACCAGGCATCAAACAAGCCCAAGACTATTATGTGCTGAAAGCTTTCCCTGTGGAGCGAGCTGCTTGGATCCGCCTGGTGTTTTCCAGTCCATCTCCCCAGTGAGACATGCAGACAAGTTAAAACAGGCACATTTCAACAGGGCCCAGAAAGAGGATGGCGGAGGATTTGCCAGGCACACAAGGGCTGCCTCCCCTCGCTCCCTGTCCTTTGCAGTGGAAATGGGGAAGGTCAGTGCTTTCCCAGCTCCAGATGTTGGGATTTTCTCACCCAGCGTGGAGCCGGGACCTGGTGAGGTGGGGAAAGTCACCCCATGGTGGCAGGGAGGGGATGGGGAGCTGCCTGATGGGGCTCGGAGCAAGGGTGGGGACTTTGCTGCTGATGTGAACTGACGGGAGAGCAGGCGAGGGATGCTCTCATCCGGCAGCCCCACAATGTGCCTCACACCCGAACCCAGGTGTCCCTCGAGGCTTGGGGCGTGGGGTTGAGGTTTGGGCATTTCCTTCCCAGGTGGAAATTTTCCTTTACCCAGCACTGGGCACATTCTCTGGTGGCCCAGGGTGGTCCCCAAGGGGAGTTTACCCCATGCTGGAGCTGGGCTTTACACTTTTCTGGGCTCTCTGGGGCTGGGGAATCAGCTCCAAGAATGTGAGTTGCCATCCTGGCAGCAGCGTTTGTTCACTACATGCATCCAAAAAAAGCAGTTTGCAGAAGAAAGAGGCTTAGGTGAAAGGCTGGTCAAAGTGTGGAGGCAAAAAAGAGAAGAGACAGTGCAGAAAAAGGGGGAAGAGGAAAGAGGAACTCTGTGGGGCTAAGAGGCATGTTTTAAGAGGATCTTCACCTTTATCCAGACCAGCCCCTTAGTCCGTCATTGTGAAAACTTCTGCTTACAGAAGCTTGGCCCCAGAGCTGGTGAACAGGATTGAGTTCACAAAAAATGTGCCCTTTTGTGGGGAACCAACAATGTGCAAATTCAGGTCAAATGCAAATGCAGGGCTTCAGCCAAAATGAGTGAGGGAAATCATTTGGAAGATGTCGAAACATCTTGTTTCAACACTTTTCAAAACAAAACATTTATGGCTTCTTCATTTCAAAATAACTTTTCCTATTTGAACAGCGCTCTGTGTCAAAAGGAGAAGAGTTCAAAAGGTGCAAAAGACCCCAAAAGGGAACAGATCATTGTGGGCTTGGTGGGAAGGATGTTTCAGGTCGAGCTGAGCCGACTCTTTTTGGTGTCTGATTGACATTTTTCCTCTCAATACTTTTTTTTTTTTTTTGGTGTGGAGTGAGTGGAGAAATCCCATCCCACAGAGCATCCCTATGGACTGAGGATGGAGTTTGCAATGTAACCACTGCAAAATGCCCCTTTTCTGCTCAGAAGCTGCTTTTTGCCCGTTTCCATGCCTGATTTTCAGAGCCATGGCTGTGGCACCCCGCTGCCCTGCCTGTGCGGGTGCCTCCCCGTAGAGAGGCCCCCGTGCACCCGGGTGCCGTCCCTTTTTTCCCTTTTTCCCCCTCTGCTTTTCCACTCCAGCAGGCGAAACGGGAGCAGGACAGTGGGTGAAAGCATCCCTTTGTGCGAGCTGAACGCGGGCCATGTGCCCTGCCAGCCCGCCCGCCCCACGCCGCGCACCCAGCCCCAGATTAGCGCGGCTATCAGGACACATTTAGATATGGACCATTTCCTCCGCCGTCGCCGGCGCAAGGGGGGACGGAGTGTGGGAAAGCTTTTTCCAGGGCGCGGGGCCCTTCTCTCGCCCGCGTTTTGCCCAATCCCAGGGCCGGGGATGGTGGCTAATCGGATTCCCACCGCGCCGGGCGCGATGCGGCCGCGGCGTGTGACCCTCCGGGGGTGCGGAGCCCTGTGGGAACCAGGGCAAGGGAGGCTCTGCCAGAAAGGGGGAGATTTTTCAGGGTTCAATAGTCAAGGTCTTTTCCATCAGGCCACCGTGCCTCACAAGCTCGCATCCCACCTGTGATGTGGTTGGGGTGTTTGTGTGTGTGTGTGTGTCCCCAAGCTGGGGACAGCCCAGCCGAGCTGGTGGCATTAACCCTTGGTGGGCTGGGTCACTGGAAATGAGGTTAGAGGGGTGGGAAAGGAGGGGAAAGGCAGATGCTGTGGTGGAGGCTGCATCACACGGTGATTGTGGGAGGTTTGGGTCCAGCTGGGGTCCAACCTGCCACCCTGCTGCCCCGTGGGCTTTGCAGCACTGAGCAGCACGTGGGCAGTGTGTCCCTGCTCCAGGTCCCCAGAACCGGGTGCTACATGGGGGCACCCTGCCGGATGGCACTGGTACCCCCTTTCTGCCACTGAATAGGGGCAATGGAGAGGCTATGTGGGTTCTTCACAATGAGGGGCACAGTGGGGAGGTCTGGGTCCCCGTTCCCCTAAAACCCTGTGGTTTGATGCAAGTTGTTATGTGCTCTTCTCCCTCCTTAGCAGCCACAGCACCGCTCCCCCAGTGATGGGGACCATCAGGGCTGGTGCTGGTGGGTTCCAGGGCTGGGAAGAAAAGAAGCTGTGCCCCATGGTGGAGGTGAGGACACCCAAAAGCTAGGGCTGGTGAGTGTAGAAGGACAGGATGTGTCTCTGGATGGTTATTCCCTGCTGCGGAGGGGTTTTGCAGCCAACGGGCCATCCTGCTGCTGCGGGCTCACTCCATCATCAAGGCAAACCTTGGGAAAGGCCCCAGGGACTGGTGCTGGGGCAGCCCGTGGGAATGGGCTGGAGCAGGAACCCCCGCGGGGCCATTTCCCAAAGGCAGCGTCAATCCTGCCACCTCCTCCTGCCACCCCTGCGGCGCCTCCGCGCCCGCTCCCGTGCTGCCCGTGGCCCCCCGCCGGGCAGGGGCTCCCCAGGCCCGCGGCCACGGCGCGGGGAAGGCAGGATGGCAAACTTCACACCATGGTGTCAGGCCAGCTCCCAGCACGCCGCCACCTCCTCCTCCTCCTTCGGCTATAGCTGCGAACGCATCAGCGGCAGTAAAGAGGTTAATGGGAGCGGGAGGAGGGAGCGGGGGAGAGAGAAGCTGTTCCCATGAACTGGCTCCAAGGCTTTTACAGAAGCGGAGCATCTGGCCACGGGGCTCATTTGCCCCGGAGCAGATGGTCCTGTCCTCTGTCCCCGGCCTGGGCGGTGGGGCTGGGGCTGATGCTGAGCCCGAGGAGCCTTTTGTCACTCGGAGATTTCGCAGGAGGCAGCGCTGAGTCCCACGGGGAGGGGGAGAGAGAGAGGAGAGGTCCCTGGGATTTCTCAGGAGTTCTCAGCCTAAACAAGCTCCTGTAGGTGATTTTTTTAAAGCCTCCAGAGCTCAGGGCTGACCCCTTCACCCAGAGCCCCCATGCTGGGCTCACAAGGTCCAGGCATGCCCTGCAGGCTGCTGTGGGGCTGCCTGTGTCCATACCGGGGAGATCCACCCCAAAACCAGCCGCCACACTCACCACGGGGCTGAGCAAGGCATTGGGTGGAGAGCACCCTTGCCAAGGATGCCACAAAAAAAGATTTACGATGTGATGGTTCAGTGCTGTAAGCAGAGCTGAACTCAGCAGGCTCCTGGGTTTCCTAAGAGGATCCTCCTTGTGCTGTGCTGGAGGTTTCCCTGCCTGGGGCTGCTGGGCGAGACTGGACCTGGAGCATGACGCTGGAGCAGGACCTCAGCATCACACTCACCGTGGCATGAATTGTGCCTCTGGGTCGTTTTCTCTCCGTCGTACCAGGTGTGACATTTATCATTGGAGCCTGGAGCACTTTGCAATCAGCTGCCTTGTGCCCCTGCCCTGTCCCGAGTCCCCTGATAACAGGGGGCTGGAGGGAGCCAAGGTGCCTCTCTCTTCCCATGTCACCTCCAGCTGGGGCATGCCGGGCTCCACCTCCATCCGTGCTGGAGAATAGCCCCCTTGCTAACCCCTCTCTGCAGAGAGACTCGAGCTTCCTGATTTATCCATATCTGGGATTGCGATCTCCAGCAAAATAGCTCTGGGCCGTCTCCTGAGCAGCTGTGACATAATTATTGTTACCAGAGATTCAGGCAAAACATCCCTGTGCTCTCCGAGCACTGCAGCACTTTCTCACCGCCACTCTGAAGCAGCCCCTTCCTCTTCCAAATTTCTGCACCAGGGTGGAGGATGTGAGGTCCTTTTCTTGGATTGCTTTTGCCCTTCCTTAGGGGACTTCATACCATGACACCTCTTGCCAGACTCTTAAAGCAATGACCCGTATCATATTATATAATTGTTTTTATTTTACCGTGATTTTTATTTTACAGTGATTTTTATTTTACTGTGATTTTTATTTTACAGTGATTTTTAGACATGCTGCACTGCTGGAGGGTCCTGAGCCTCCTCTGTGCAGGGGGTGAGGATTGGCTTTGCCAGCTCCTCAAGGATTTCTCCCAAGCATGTCCTGAAGACCTGTCTGTGCCCACGGAGGTGGGAGAAATGGCTGAGCTCGCCTGGGCCTTCAGATGGGCCTCCATTATCCCCAACATCCCATGGAAACCATCTTCCCCCATTCCTTTGCCAGGAATAAAGAGAACCGATGACATCTGCAGCGTTACCAGCACGTTCCTCAGCCCTCCAGGTCTCCCAGCTTCCAGGACAGCTGTAAGTTATTCTCGGAGAGCCTACATCCTCCCATCCCTCTGGATTTTCCTACCTTGGCTCCACCGCGTCCCAAAGGGAGGACAACGCTCGTACGGATCTTCCTCTGGAAGCCTGTTTACCGGAGGACGGGAGCGGTTTTCCAGATGTTCTGGAGGGAAGTGGCTCCATCCAGGGACCTGCCCATCGCGCGCTGCCTGTCCCCGCTAGGACATCTTTTTCCTCGCGCGGAGGATGTGTGTGTGTGTTCGGCAGCCGGCCTGGCTCACAGAAGCCTGGACCCGCTCCCAGACACCTTGGCCTAGGCCACGTCCGACGGGCCGCACGCTCGCACAAGCCGCGGGAGGCGGCCTCGGGGGGAGGCCGGCCTCGTGCCAGCCTCGCTGTCGTGCTCCCCAGCTGCGGCACAGACCTCTCTGCTCATCCAAAAACATCCCTCCCCAGATGGAGGCACGCCCGGAGGTCCTGGTCCCTTCCTGGAGAGCCATCCTGGATGGCACAGATGCCCCTGGTGTCCCCCACCTGCTTGCCCTGTTGTCCCCAAAATGCTCACGTGCACAATTCCTCCCCAGACTCGGCGTGCTGGCCCACACCAACCCACCGAGGGCACCCGGGCAGAGCGTTGCTCTTCCCAGAACCCATACCAAGGAGCCTTCTTGGTTGAGAGAACTGAGAATAATAAAAGGCAACGCAACGAGCCCGAGCGCGATAGGAAGCGGGTAGCAGGGCGCTAAAGACGACGGGGGAAAGTCGATGGCAAGCAGCTGCAGCGCAGATGCTGAGCAGAAATGAAAGCCTCCTCTCCGAGGGCAGGCCGTGACGAAGCCGCAGAAGCAGCCTGGGATGAGTAAATGGGTTTATCGCGAAGGGAGGAGGTCGTTTGTCACCTTAGGCAAAACCAGCGTGTCACAAATGGGAAACTGCAAATTCTCTGTGACAGTGTGCTGCAGCGGAGAGAAACCACAGATGATGCCGAGGAGAGGAGCCAGGACACCGAGGCATTCAGAGGAAGCCCTGGGCAGGAAGAGAAAGGTCTTGATCCAACTACATCCCGTGTTTAGGTTTAAGCAAGTAAACAGTCCCATTCACGCTCAAGTGCTTTAATGTTTTATTGGGCCAGGATTTCAAAAGTGATGAAAAGTCTGCATGAATCCAGAGCGGAGACTCAGAAAAGAGAGGGGAGAGGAACCGATCAGTCAGCGCGAGAAGGCTGGAGATAAGGGATGCGTCGCAGGCTGCTTTCTATCAGCGAGGCTTCACCGGGGTTACGCAGCTCCTCAGCAGCGAGGAGCCACAAGTGGCTTCACACGGACTCAGCAGCAGTTAGCATCTGCAGTAAATCAGGCGGTTTAATGGGATCGGGGCCGGGAAGGCTGCTGATTTCTTTGGGAAGGAGAGGCGCTGCAGGCTCCTTCGACTTGTCAGTGCTCTCAATGTCCTCCCAGCCGGGATGGGCAGGGGCATGCAGCAGCCAGGCCATGCCGATGCTGGAAGGGGCTGGATGTTCCCAAAAGGGACACTTGGCACACGAGCTGGGGCTGCAGCACAGCCTGAGGACCGATGTCCTTCCTGCGTACCCGGCAGGCAGGTGTCCCCCCAGCTTCGTGAGGGGTTGTGGGTGCTCTGTGCATGGCAGTGCCAAATGGCATGGGGGAAAAAACGAGACAGCCCTGTGCCTTCTCCCTGCATTTCCCCATTTCTCACTGAGTTTTTAGGGTTCTTGCTGCTGTCAGAGCCAGGGGTGAGGGGATGCATCCTCCTCCCCACCCCCACTTGTAAATGGTGATCACCATCCGTCCCTCAACGTGTGTGTGTGTGTCTCACCCTCTCCATCTCCATGCTCATGCTCAGGGGATGCTTGCCAAGGGCGCAGGGCTTCCATCCGTACCTGCTCTTTCACGGACGTCTGAGTACAGAAGAGCAAGCGCCGGTGAGCAGCTGTCGGCACCAGGTCCCTCCGGACCACGGGACGAGCCGCCCGGCGGGCCGGTCGGGAGCGCCGGTGCCTTTCGGCATTGTCCTACAGCTCCCGGCCCAAGCCGTGCCGCGGGTTCCCACAGCTGCACGACAAAGGAGAGACAACAGGCTCCTCTGGGGACAAAACCTAATCTGAGAGATACCGGGCTGAGAAAGCTCTTCCTAAAAAAGCCACAGTCAAAAGCTCTCGGATGCCCTGCGTCCGCGGATACCCGATACGGCTGCCTGTGGTACGATTACCTCCAGGCAGGCTTTGTCCGCTGCGGCTCCCCTGAATGTCACACTTGTTCCCAAATACCAGCGGGGAACAATGCGGGGGCAACACAAGGAAAAGCCTCCTCTGTCCCTCCCGGCCTAAGAGTAAATATCAAATGCCGGTGCTGGAGGGGAGGGAGGGGAACGGCGAGCGAGGAGACAAAAAGGAAAAAGCCCGCGGTCGAGAAATGCCACGGGGAAACTGGGTCATGGCTATAGGGTGACAGGCAGAAAAGGGGCCCTGCTCTTGGATGTGTTTGGTGGCCTCCTGAGCAGCCCCTTCACGCACAGCTGCTGCAGCCTCTTCCCCACGGACTGAATGGTGTGAGCTGGATGCAATCTGGTTTTCCATCCTTATCTGCCCTCCCTGCTGGCGGTGAAGTCAAGTCCTCTTCAGCCCCCTCCTTCCTGGAGCCCACGCATGGTTTCTTCTTCTCACAGCGTGTCCGTTTGTCCCTTGAAGGGAGCGTGTGTCCAGCTGAGTCTGCCAGCGGGATGGCGGTCAGGCTTTGGTGCAACCTTGTAATGCATCACTGGGAGGATGGAAGGAGGCAGAGCAGCAGGAACAGGAGGAAAATGACCTAGAGAAACAAATCCAACCAGGTTCGAGGCACTGTAATTCATTGCCTCCTCCTAAAAGGATCCCCCTTTCTATCAGTGACTGAAATAAATATCTCAAAGAAAGTGAAGAAGCTGGGTTTGGGATGTGTGGTTCTGGACTGAAAGGTGTGCAGGGAAGGGACACCTGTCCTCCCCTCGGCCAGCCTACAGAGCAGAGAGGGCACAGAGGGACCCAGCGGTCCTGTGCTGTAATGAGACCCTGGGGACAAGGCTGGAGGCAAAATTTCACGGTGTCCCCTTTGGTGGTGGAGCAGGATGGATTGGTAGGGTGGGCCATAAAGGGAAATCCTCCAGTGAGAGGAGTGACCCCCCTGAACGAGCAGCAGCAGGGCCAAGTGCTGAAGCTGCATTTTGGAGATGAATGGAGTCTCACATGTTGCAAGAGCTGATGGAAGACTTCCTGCACAGAGAAGACAACTCAGGAGCAGCCCCGTCTGTTGCCAAATGGCCACACAGGGAGTGTGACCTTGTCCCATCAGATAAGGAGATTTATTCTGCTCCTTTTGATAGGACATCGATTGAGGTTTCCATGCTTGTGAGGGCACTGGGGGTTCACAGGGCCAAAGGGACAGCACGGAGCAACAAAACACAAGGCTCTTGGCTTTGCCCAGAGATTTATCTCTTGGCTTTGCCCAGAGATTTATGGACTTGGTTAGTCTCAGAGCAAGATTGGTATGAACATCCCACTGCCTGTGCCCAGACCAGAAAGGCAGACTCCATCAAACCCGCCACACTGAGATGAACTCAAAATAAGCCTCAAGACCCTTGGCACATCGGGAGCCCAAATATTTTGGTGCTCCAGGACAGATGGGCTCAGCACACAACAGAGCAGGAGAGCAGACCCACACCGGGAGGGCAGGCTGGCTGTCTCGTGCCGGCTCTGAAGCGAGCCAGGGCCAGCTCCGACACTCACTCAAGAAAAATAGCTGTTTCAAGAGGATGTGGCTGTGCATTTCTCATTTTTTGGGGGCAAGATCCTCAGCTAGGGCAACTCCGGTGTTGCCCCCAGTGGCGCTGCGTCAGCCTGGGAGTGCTCCCTTGGAAATAAAGAGCAGCTGCAGGTGCTGCAGAGCAGGGGGTTTAGCTGAGGGGTTCTCCGTGGATGGAAATCACTGGAGATGAAAGAGCTGAGCCCAATTTCGGGCTGGTAATCCCTTGCCACCTGTGCCTGTGAGGCAGGCGGAGCAGCAGGGCCGCGTGTGCTCCTCCAGCTCGCTGCCTCCAGGAAGCTTCCCCGCACTATTTTTGCAGCGCTGACCTCATTGCTCGGATCAGCCTGCCCTTTTCCAGCTTCCTCTCTCTGATATCTGACTTTTGCCCCGTATTTCCTCACACGTTGAGCAATCACCTTAAGACTCTCTTCTCATTTCTTGAATTCTTGTTTATCTCCCCGCTCGGCACGGGGCTCTGACGGGGCCCTGCCTTCCTGTCCTGCCTGGCCAGTTCCTCTGTTTACCTATAACACAAATTATACATTTTTTTTCCTATGTTTTGCTTGTTTATTTGATTGTTTTCTGTTTGTTTGCTTGCTTGTTTTGTTTCTAACCCAAAGCAACTACTCAATACCAGGAGAAATGTTTTCTCCTCTCCTTGTTGCCCATTTCTCCATGGTCCCAGCCACCTTCTCCAGCTCTTACCACCTGCAGAGAGCTTTGCTCCTGTCCTCACCATGGTCAATGTCTAAAATCCCTGCTGCAAGCAGTAATTCCCTGCTTGGCAGAGCCTGGAGTCTCCCGAAGCCTCTAACCAGTCCCATACTGGCCACGCTTGTCTTGCAGGGAGGTAAGGGCCTCGATCCCAATGGGACGCAGAGGGGAAATGAAAATCCCTTTGCTCCCCCACCTCCCTGAGCTCCCCCATGACCCCTCTCCCCTCGGTGATCCCACACTGTTCCCTCACAAAGCAAATTCTTCCTGGATTATATTTTAATATCTGCAAAGCCTCAAGTTTGAAAGAAAAACAAATGTGAAACCAGCTCATGAATCTCCTCGATGTGAACAAGGAGAAGCCACCTCCGTTGCTCCTGAGAGCTTGCAGAGGAGCCCCGTGAGCGGATTAGGGTGGGCAGAGCTGACAGCCACACACTCGGTCAAACCCGGGGATTGAGATGTCAGGAGCTTAAACCAAAAAGAGACGGGACGGGCACGCAGTGCAAGGGGAGAGCATGATGGCGAGCATCTCGGGTGCTGAGCTTCCCTTTCCCCATGTGTTTCTGATCCATATCTCTGGGGATGCACCAGGAGCACGGTCCTGAGGAAAACCTGCCTGTGGCAGCATCTCATCCCCCAGAGACTGGGATCTAGCTGGGAAACAAGGAAAAGCAGGTCTTGCTCTTCCCTGGGCTTTCCCCTTTTGCATTTGACCAAGTTTGAGCTTGGGGGGAATGACAGATTGTACATGGCCAGCCCTCGGGCTGCTCCCTGCTCAGCACATGGGCTCCCTGCTTGCTCCAGAATAAAAGCTGCATTATTCTGTAAAACCCAGGAGAACAATTCTTGGCTAAAGTCTTTTGTCCACCAGAGATGATAACCCACACCAGGATGCTGTTCCCAAACGGGGATGGCAGCTAATTCTCTGGACAGCATCTGAGACAAACCCCAAAGAAATGTCCCTGTCTTCTTCAGGTGCAGCCCTTTGAGGTCAGAGAATAAAGGGGACGCTCACAGGGGCAGGACAGAGGCTGCCCTGCAGCAGCCAGAGGAGCGATCGCTTTGGCGAGGACGCCTCGTCCCGTCCAAGAGTACAAAATGCATTGCCTCCACCCTTCCTGATGTGAACCTTTCTGAGGGAAAGCCTTGGGGAACAGCACTAAGGAGTTTCCTCGCTTTTTGCTACCAGGTCCTGATGATGGCCACTGGCCTCACTTTCCCCCAGGTGATGGGGGTGTGCAGCCGTATAATTTTCTCTACTATGATTTCCCAGCCATATATTTCATGCAAATAAATCCGGGTCTGAAGCAAGGTTCTGGGTGTCAGGAGCACCTTTTCTTCCTCTGCTTGTGTTCTTCCCACTGGGCTCACGCATATGGGACAGTGATTTAACAGCCCTGCTCAAATCCCCCAGTGAGTGACCGGCGCTGGGCATCCCGGTGTGAGGCTGGCACAGGGCAGGAGCTGGAAGTGTTTGTGGGGCTGGGGGCTGGCCCTGGACTGAACAGCATCTGAGGGGGTTTCTGGGACTGACTGAGCTGGGAATAAATGTTCTGAATGCTCTTCTTATTGACACATGGCTTTGTTCTGGCCTGTCTATGTGTTGGGGCTTAAAATATTCTCTTCCCAAAGGGATCATCTGTTCTTGGTTAGCTACCACAAGGCCATCCCATGGCATGGGTGGATTTCAAGGGATAGAAGGGCTTGTCATAAAAGGCTCTCAACTCCCCAGAGGCTATAAAATGTGCATTTTTAATGAAGCTTAAGAGGTGGATCTGAGTGCTTCTGAACAAGGCGATCCTGGAGCAGCTGGGCTGAAATGCGTTCACATTGGGAAATCGTTTCTGTGTGTGCCAATATCACAGGAGCAAATATTGACTTAAAAGTATTCCACTCGCATCTGTGAAGAATTCTTCCTCTCTTTTTCAAGTATGGGTCCTTTCCACCTGGAGCCTTTCTGCTGAACTAATGGCTGCTGTTAATTCTGGTGTTGGTAACATCCTTGTCCTCGGGCTGTGGGTGTGCGCTCAGAGCTTTCATGGAAACACAAAGAGAAGATCACCCTCGCTGTGCTGAGACAGATACCTGCAGATTTGTTGGGGAACCTTGGACGTTTTGGGTTCCCTGTCTTGAGTAGTTTCTACATCTGTTCACTGGTTGATCTCCATTTTGGAGAGACTCCATCAGTTCCACCAGGGTCACCCTTGAGGATGCTGCACTTTGGTGTCAGAATAAGTGGCTCCTTATACCTATACAGTGTCTTTCTCTGCCTATGAAGCTTCACAGCCTACATGAAGGCTTCCCAGAAGGTGCTGTGCAATGAGTGACATGCTGTAAGGTGGATGTGGAGAAAGGTGAAGAAGTGCTAACGTTAAGCCCTGTGCCCCCACCCCCATTGGCAGCGTGGGGTGAGAGGTAGCAGAGATGCTTGGGGGAGACACAAGCAAGCCCTTCTGCCCCAGAGGGGCTGTGCTGGGACCCTGCAGTGTTTCTGGGTCTCAGAGGAGCTGTTAAAGGGAAAACCACGTGCACATTCCTCAGCACAATGGAGCCCCGAGCCAGGACGATGCTGTGGTCCAGGCGCATCCTCCGAGGATGAAACCCTACAGGAATACCTGAGAGAGGAAGACT